ACTAGTCAGCTGCATTGAGATTAATAGCCGAGTGACTACTTGATTTAATATGGTTATTTCACATCTTCCCGGGGAAAAAATAAACAACAAAGTTAATGCAAGACATTTGTCACTGATGTCCTCAATCTCTCCTCTCTAAGTGAGAGAAGTTTATTGTGCATTTAGATGGGTTTCCTATTCAGCCTGCCATTGCTGGAACAATGGAGAGGCTTTTGATGTTAAATGTGTGTATACTCAATCTAGAAGTTTTATATTTTTTACTAAGTTTTGCTTCTTCAGCTTCTTAAAATGTTTTTGCATTATGGCAAATTACAACATGGTCATATCTGAAACTGTGTTAGAGATAAATGCAGCAAGGAGAAAAAGTGCAATGCAATCTTTCATTACAGGGTGAAAAATGAAAAATCCTTATTTATCTTTTTCCATGCCGTCAGCTTACTCCAAACTTTGCTGCAGAGGATTACTGGCTGGGTGGGTAAGGCTCTGTCACTGCAAAGTGGGAGACAACACACTGTGACAACGGTGATCTGAGAACGCTGCCGACTCACAGCTGAGGAGGAATGATTAGCCCAAAGTTGTGCAGGAGCATTTAAATACTTCCTCGTGACCTTTAATCCCCAGTGAAATCAAAATATCACCCTTCCCTCTTCTGCACAACACAAGCAAACACTCAAAGCTCCCAGCATGCACTGCTAACAGCTTTTCAGGAGATCGGAGATTTCCTAAAGCTGACTGATTTCTTAAATAGGTGAAATGAGTGTCATCTTCCAGTGCAGGGCTTAATGTTGGATCATATAAAAACTGCCATGGGACTGTGGCAGCTGGGAGTGAATATATTGAAGGTGTTCAGTGGAGTGAAACAGTCTGAATGACTTTTTACTGTTAGTGTTGTGTTTTTACAAAAGATTACACAATAGTAGAAATCAACCGTCCAATATATCACTGCACACATCATATGATAACAAAACTTTAGACTTAATCTTGATTGTCGTCATTTATTGCTGTCACTTTCCCCCTGAGCTGGTGAAACTGTACTGTAACAATGTACAATGTACAATGTATGTGCCCCAAAGACACTCTGGCAGAGATTCTGGTTGATGGATGAGCCATACTACCTCGTGAGCATCAGCCACCACCTTGTTTTTAGATACCATTGCAGGGTTGAGTGTATGGTTCCATGATTGCCATTTAATTTTTGAAAAACAGTAGGACATAATATGTCGATTATACTTTCCACAGCTGTATTTTTGTGAAGCCGTCTTTTATTTAGGGAATGCAGGGCTTGCTGACACAGCCTCTAGATCAGGATATAGTTAGAAAACAAAGGAAGTGCGTCATCAGCATAGAGGAAAACATGTGCATACAGAAAGCATACCATTCATTTTGTAAGTAAAATGGAAAGCCTCAATATAAATGGACTATAAATTAATGTACCCCTTTGTAAAAGTGATCCCTGCTACCACTAAAGTTAATACCATGAAGTAAATGTTACTGAGTCAGAATAATCATAATAAAAAGATTAATCTATAGATTGATACAGCTCTTTTTTTTTTCTTGTTTGTCATGGACACTTAATCAGCTGGTAATGTTGTCGTTTTTCTATAGTAACTCAGGTACTTGATTTTACCAAGAAAGCTACAAGTTTATGTTATGAAGTGATACATGATGTAAAGTATATACAATATCACTGTAGTGTCGTCACTGTAAAATCAATGCTAAGTTGCTTTTAGGCTGTTCTGGCAGAATGTAGTTGCCAAACACCATTTTTTCTACAATTTATCACACATCTGTATATTTATTTAGCTTTGAGTCTCATGAGGACCCTGAACCTTTCACTCCACATACAGACCCTGTTGGCTTGGTCTTCACAACATTACAGGGATGCCATTCATCCAGCTGCTGACTGACAATCAATGGTGGTGCCATGGAATGGCTTTTGGCTGTGATTGATACGACCTATTAGCCTCCTGCATCTGGACATTGTGTTTTGGAATGGGGAAGGACAGTTCCAACCCACCCAATTTGTCTGTATTGATCTGGACTAGACTGAAACTTCTAAATCTCTCACCAGTCTGTATAAACCACTGTCACTGCCTCACTCAGACATAGATCACAATGTTGTTAAGTATTGGACTGTTTTTTTGATGTAGTCTATTGTGGGGAACACATTCGAATTAACTGAATAGACTCAGTGGCTGAATGATAATACAGCATGAATTTACGTATCAATGGCAACAGTTACAAGTTATAGCCTTTCATTGCAACCTATTTTTTGTAATAGACATGAATGCACATGGTTCTTTCTCCTTTGTATTGACATTTAGTGTCAAATACATTTCCAGAGAATGAGTTTCAAATGTGGTGATTAACAATTATCATATGTATGATGTATTACAAACTCAAGAACACAAAAACAAGAACAGTGAAGCTATGAACAGTCAGAGTGTGATCTTATCCTTTTTCAATTTCCATTTACAGCTGTGCCTTTTGCTTCACAAATGTGGAAAAAAGGAAAACATTATTTTCAAATAAAAACAACATATCTAATACAAGAACACACATTTATATTTCCATTTTTCTAATATGAAACAGTCTGTCTTGAATGGTTCATAACGTGCTTACCAGTCATTTCTACTTCAAAATTACATTTCACATATCCTGAAGATAAATTGCTACAGCTGACCTGAAAGGAAAGATTTAAACGTTTTATTTTGCCTGAGAGGCAAGTGATTTCTTCCAGGCTCATTTACATCTGTGAAAGCCGGTGAAGAATATTCTGAAATGCAGACCAATCTAGGTAGGACTAAATAAAAGCTGTTTTTTTCCAGGTGATTTTAAAATTTTCCATGCACCTAGAACACAGGGTAAATACATTGTGTTGGCAGGTTATGCAGCATTACTGTCATGTCTTTCTTTTGGCCAGAATATGTTTTAATCCATGAAGTCTCTCTGCATATATAAAGCTTAAAGCGGATAGAGGCTTTAGGAAGTCAGGTGAGGTAATAACAGAACTAAGTCTGCATACCGAGCAGGTTGTGGAGGATGAATTGGTCAAGTGCAGCAGTGGGATTTGTACTGTGATTTATTCATTGGCTTGGTTAACTTGTTAGTTTAACCTTCCTCTACATTTTTATTTTTAAATATTTTTGACAGGAAGCCTTGAGGATAAACTTGTTCTCACCAGTCCAGTTTCCTGGCTGTTTGTTGGTCAACAAGCAATTCTGTTCCTATTCTCATTTTTAATCCCACATAGAGTTCAACTTTATATCAACTCCATGAATTTATAATGAAAGACTTTCTGTGTGTTCCTGGATGAGCTGGGCTTAATTTATTCTGCCAAAGTGACAGCCTTTAAAAAACTGTACAGTAGATCTCTTTAGCTGTTTTGTGATGTTGTGAGTATTTGTGTTGTTGATAGACTGTCAGGTACATTGTGACTCCAGCGCTAACAAAGAAGTGGCCCTGTTTAACCTCTAAAACCTTATTCACCTGAGATGTTACATGTTTGCTTGGCCTCAAAAAAAAGGTCATAACCTTAATCTCAGTTGAATGAAGGAGGGAAAGCAGAGGTTGCCCCAGGCTGTGTTCAGAGAGAACTACAGACAGTGAGTGGGGATATTGTTAGGCTGTGGAAATAAGACTTTGAGGAAATCCTGAACCCCATCAACTTGTCTTCTGATGAAGAGGCAGGCAAGAAGCTCCTCAAAGTGAGGCACGAGGTGTGAGATCTACCCTGAGATGCTGCAGGTTCTGGACATTGTGGGGCTTTCTTAGCTGATGGTCAGGGACTGTGCCTGGGTACCGGCCGACTGTGTTGGTGATTCCATAATGTAAAAAGTGGATCAGAGGGTGTGCTCCAGTTAAAAAGGTATTGCTTCTCTGCCTTCCTGGAAAAGTTATGCTACGATGCTAGAAAACAAAACTGGAAACTCTTTAGCCTAACTTTACAGGAGAGGTCCTTGTAGCCCATCCACCCTACGTATTTTACACAGCATTGTAGTGAAGAGGGAACTGAACTGGAGGGCAAAGCTTTCTGTGTAGCATTCCAACTTCACCTCTCATCATGAGCTTTTGGTCGTGAGCAAAAGAATGAGATCACATATATGGTTGAAATGAGTCCCTTTCATACAGAGGCTTGGCTCTCGCCTTATAGATAGTGTAGGGAGCTCAGACAGATGGGGGAGCGTGTAGCAATCCACCTCTGGATCGGCAGAGTTAATGGATTAATATCACAGTACCACATTATTGGATAAAATGAATTTATCCTTTTAATTTGAAAATGCATCTCACTACAAAGCACATAATGGTACTATTCATATTTGACAGTGTCATATGTTTTTACACATTTATCAGAGTAAGGTGCTAAATGTTAATAATTGACGCTTTCAAAACAAATCTGGTTTGCTTTTATTTTTTTCCACTTTTGGTGGCTACAATAGTTTCCTTTCTTGACAGATTCATCTATTAACTGGCCTTTGATTTAAATCACTGTTTTAATTTCTGTTTGTTTATTATGGTAATTAATACACTGAATTGAATCTAAATCCACATTTAACATTAGATTCTACTGCTGTTCATCAGAGGCTAATGTGATCCATAGAATCATCTCTCCAGACTATATTCACTTATATTTTCCTGCTTGCCAATTATTAACTGTAATTCTGTTGAAAAGTGATGCGCTTTGGCCTTTCCCGTACCAGGCCGCTCCACTAGTTGGTGATTAATGGACCACTTCCGTCTCCAGCACTATGAACTCTGGCCTTGACTTAATTAAAACTCAGCTGTTGACCACCAATTATAAATTACTTTCCACAACCTGTGACACTTTTAGAATAGAAAGAACAAATTGGTTTCTTTCCAACTAATCATTTACAAATGAAAGTGACTAACAAGCCTGAGGCAGGGATCTGCACCACCCTGCTTTGGAAGGCTGACGGCACCATCCCTGAGCATGAGGCAGTTGATTGATGGCTTCTGTCTGCTCTGCTTTTGTTTTTCAGGTAGCGGCTTTCATTACAGTGTCACCTCAGTGCTCCTGCCCAGCCTGATCCCTGACCTGAGCAGCTGGTTTCCAGTAAGAGGGAGCTGCCCTGCAACAACATCGCTCCTCCATCATATCTGGCTCTGTCTACATATGCTTTAGTCTGGGGATGGATGGCTCTTTAAGTGTATCAATTTGTCAATGGGAAGGCCCAGTCTGAGACTCACATGTAATCATTCATATTTTTTATGCCATTTCTGTGACTTGAATGTTATCGTCAATTCTGAAGTCACACATTTAGTCATTACACCAGGGGCACAGGCTCGGGTGCTTTCTGTCTTGGATGTGATGGGTTACTGTTGTATATCACACACAGGCAGCCGCGAACTATGCCCTTTTTTCAGAAAACTGGATGAAGATGGAGCAGAAGCTTCAGGGTGAGACACAGCAGCTTGAGCGTTCTTCACTGCTGTATCGTATGCTCTATTTCCTTTATGTATTTTTAATGACGTGAACTACATTTTTATTAGCTTGTAATGTAATTTATTTAGTATTATGTTGTACAATTTCTTAATAGTTGTGAATATTATTTGACCAAATATATCCACTACAATAAAAGTAATAAAGTCTATGTGAAAGAGGAACCGAAGATCTGGCTGCATCTGTGATAGAAGAAAGCAAAACATACATTTTTCAGTATGCAAAGCAGTTGGTACATCATTTCTGATAAGTCCAGTTTGATTTGAGACATAACCCTTGCAATTCATGTGCTATGCCAGTAAGTACCTTATGTTAACAGTGTACTACATGTAAGTATTTGAACTGAGAAAAAGACATTGCCTAGGGAGTAGTATGGGTCTGTTGGATGGGTCAAATAAAACAATGTACTTTAACAAAGGAGACCACTGTGTGTTTCATTTTCAAACCAACAGTCAACAATGTTTAACCACAACTTCAGGAAATGGTCATATGGGTCATATCCATGGAAAGGGGTGGGGGTTTTAAAGCAAAGCAAAAAAATGCTCATGTAGTCATTTATTACATGTACATACAGGTACACTTACATCATAATGGCATAGAGATTAAACATAATTGCATTTGTTTATCAACTAATAATAATTGACAATAGTTGGTTGAACTGAGTTTATACAATGCTGATTTACCTTCAACAAATTACTTTCAAAGGGAATTACAGTCTGTAAAATGTGTGGCAGCCTCTATTCGTTTGAAAAGGAAAACACAAAATAAATGATTGTTTATGTCACGATTGGTCTTTCATTGAATGTTTGACAGCCTTTCTAAGTTAAGTGCTGATGATGGTCCTGTGACTAATGGTTTTTTTCATTTTACATACATTAAATACCTCGTCTCTGTTGGGAATCATTAAATCTTCTCTGATTGGTGTGTGGGCATTTCTTCCCATTTAAGCTGTGACTTTTTACAGTAAGTATTCACATTGCTTATTTTTATCCAAGTGGTAAGGCTCTTCATGGAATGTTAACTTTATAGGCCCTTGTGTGTTTTTGTAACAGCAGTTTACTTCCTCTATAGTGACTCTCTTTGGATTTCAGCAGCTCATTAGAACCCTGCAAACTTTTGAGAAGTGTGCTCAGTAGCTGTTAAAAAGTCACATAGAAGGACAATGTCAATTTTGTTTGTGTGCCCATCATAAAGAGATGTCTTGTTCTGACTAGCTGCTGACTAGCTTCATATACAGTATATTGAACAGTATATGGTTCAGCCTACAAGACTCTGGAAGATCGTCATACATTCTTAGTGGTAGAAATTATATGGCAACCTTCTCCGCCTCCAACTTTGAATTTCGGTTGCTCGATCTGTTTCCGGTCTCTTTGCTCCGAACAGCTTTATATATGGAATCTCAACTTGGACAGCAGTGGTGATCTGTTCTGTTAATTTGTGGGGAAACTAAGTCATGGTAGGTGTCCCACAAGTTCCACTGTGTGGCAAGATGGTGTGTTTTTAGAGGAAGCCATTCCCATCAAATCATCCAGGTAAAATAAGACTCTGAGTTGTTTGAATAACTGCTTCAGTGCTGTCTCCTTGCATTTGGGAATGTGCATGAAGCCGGAGAACAACCAAAACTTAAATGTAAATGAAAATCAACATGGTGGATGTCTTTGTGATATGCATGTAGAATGACGTCAGCATGATGGATTTGATGGACAGAGGGACAGGTTAGGACGTTACTTTGGCACCTCCAAGGACAGTATCTGATGAGGGCCAGTGGATAGCCCTCATCGCCCCATGCGATGGCTGAGCAGAGGGTTGAAGCGGAATCTGCATCAGGCCACAGAGAAAAACCATCACCAATACACACTGATGGGAGAGAAGTGGGGAGAGCACAGAGAAGGAGGCAGTGGGCTGTTGTTTTCACTTTAGGTGAGAAACTGTTCACATGTGACAATGAGATGTGGAGAGGAATCTGACTCAACAGCTGATACAGAATGCATGACAGCAGCGGAGTCGACATGTGTCTGGGGAGAATGTGTTGTGACACAGAGTTGTTAGATGCTCAGAGGAGGGTAAAGCAAACTGGCTGTTTGGAGGCTTTTCTTTAGTCAAAGGGGACTGACTCTTAAAAAAGCCATTATTCATGACAGTCGAATAATAACTTGCAGTGGACACGTTCCAAACATTCCTGCTTTTGCATGAGGGCTCTAAAGGAGGTTTAGACCAAATGCAGGCTGTGCATCAGTTGTTAGTGCTAGGGGGTATGGAGCAGCCTGCCACAGTGATGACTGAGGGGCATTTTGCCCTGGGACAGGGGCCTTTGTGAACCAGCAAAGACTTTCTTGAGGTGTGACATGGCTCTGTGAAGGAGCGTACCAGTCGCACCAGGGCTGATGGACACATCCAGAAGCCCTTCCCTGGTCTGCTGCAGAAGCTGAGATGTGAAACTGCATGTTATCGCAAGTTCCTAGCAGCTCTTCTCACATAATGTTCCTGAAGTGGTTCCAGAGTTTGGGAAATAAAGGAAGAATGCTATAATTGCTACACACTAAGATTCCTGTTTTATAAAATACTCATGTCAACAGAAATACACACGTACATTCACACTCACCATTGTGGGGAACGTGTCACCCATATGTTACAGGTTTTGATGCCTTGAGCGCAAGTTAATCACACAGCAGACAATTTCCCTTTTTGCTTTATTGCTTTACATTTCTGCCTTGCAGTCTTATTTCAAGATAGTAATAGGCTTAATTTGATCTGTTAGAGGGGCGATTATGTTGCTGTGTGTTGTCTCCTGAGGCTACGCAATGATAAGCATGATGTCATGCTGCGCAGCTGCAGGGTCGAGTCTCACAATCCATCATCTTTTACTTTCCACCAGTGGAGATGAAAGTGTTGTAGTTTTTTTGCTGTAAGATTTGTCCATCATCACCAACCGCTTCTCTTGTTGTGGAATTATCGACCTCTGGAAGTGCTGATACACTTCAGCGAGTAATGTTTTCCTCAGACCATTCTGACTCGCTAGTGCCAGTGATAGAAAAAGAAGACACACACACTTGAAAAGAAAAAGAAAATGATCGTAATCGTTCTTTTGTCTTGGGCATAATGTAATAACATAAAAAAATAATTCCCCTTTTGTGTTCAGAAAGGCTAGAGAATATTTTTTTATAAGGCTGTATTGCCTTGCTTTTTTCAATTCATTGAATATACAGCAAGGATAATTGGAAAATAGCAGCTCAAAAAGCTTTAAAACATTTGAAAAAGCAATCAAAGTCAGGTTTCCCCCTAAGCTTGAGGCTGTGTATCTAGATTTAATTCTGTGCAGGTTGTTGGACAAACTTTACATGGTTTTGATTGCTCACAGCGGCTTATTATCTGATAGACTGCTGTCTCTGTAAATACAGCATGAACAAGAAGATAACTCTCCCAGGAAATGTGGACTGAAGGGAATTTCAATGGCAGGTGAAGCAGTTATCACCTCTGGTCAATGTGTGGAATGTTAACGAAGGTTTCTTTCAGGAGAAAAACCCAGAGGAAGAATGTGTTAGTACAACAGGGGCCGTGTCCAGCATCATTACTGCAGAATGCTTTAGTCATGAGAGAGAGACTTGATAATCAGTCAGTCAGCTGTAGAGAGAAAAGTCTTAAACTGTAATCCACATGTATGTTTTTTATGATATACATGTGTACATGGTATCTAAGTCTTTGTTTTTGTGAAACTGTCTAAATTCAATCAGACTAATCTAAAAGCAAAATCCACCCTAAACACGTCTAACATCTGATTGGTCCCTGCAAAACTAACGTAGAGTAACCAGAGACTCCTTTACATAGCCAAACCTCCCAAGTAGTTAACACTTACAACAAACCATCCAACACACAGCAAAGTTTATTATATATTTCCTTATGTTCTGTGTAGATCATGTTGTTATCACTGTTGAATCATTGCAGGTGTTTGCATCAAGACGCAGACACACACTACAGTTCAATTTAATATCCAAGTGTATTTGTATGTGTGTCCTTTGATTTGTCCCTTTACTACATTCTCTTTGAGTCATTTCATTCACAATCTTCTACTTAGGATGCAAGCAAAATCCACTTCAAGTTGAACCAGAATGTTTGGCTTACAACGTACAAAAAGAGTGAATGGGTGAAAAAACTGTACTATAAAGTACTTTGAGTGGTCATCAAGACTAGAAAGGGTCTATATAAATCCAGACCATCTACCGTTCTTACACTGTAATAAACGTCAGTGAAATGAACATGAAGTGCTGTAAAATCATGATATCAAAAAGGTGCAAATAGAAAAACAATGA